CTTTACCACCAGGGACCTGGACTTAGCTGGCTTGAAATCCATCCGAGCCCAGTTGATGAGGTGCTCGAGCCCTTGGAGGATCCATCTGCACCCCGGAACCGATGTTGTGGTCACCGTCAGATCATCCATAAATGCTCTTATGGGGGGCTGCCGTATGCCTGACTTGGTGAGTGGGCCTCTGCACTCTACCTCTGCAGACTTCACCAGCATATTCATCGCCAAGGCAAACAATATCACGGAAATAGTACATCCCGTGATAATGCCCTTCTCAAGCCGATGAAATGCAGATGTTTCCGTTCCAGAGGTGACTCTCAGACTGAAGGAATTATAATAATCCAGTATGAGGTGCTTTGTCTTGTCTGGAACGTGGTGTCGGTCAAGTGCGGCTTCTACCAGCCTATGAGGGATTGACCCGTAGGCGTTGGTGAGGTCGAGCCAGAGGACTGCCAGATCCCCTTTGCCTTCACGTGCCTCACGTAAGAGCTGAGTGACAACTCCTGTATGCTCGATACATCCTGGCATCTTTGGGACTCCCCCCTTCTGCACCGAGGTATCGATGTACTTGTTCCTCAGAAGGAACTCCGTCAGGCGTCGGGCAAGAATACTAAAGAAAATTTTGCCCTCAACACTGAGGAGCGAGATGACTCTGAACTGTTCGATGGTACTTGAGTTCTCCTCCTTCGGGATCCAGACACCCTCTGCATGTCGCCACTGTTGCGCCACCTTCCCCCTCCTCCAGATGACCTTGATTAGTTTCCATAACCTCTTCAAGAGTCTGGGGCACCTCTTATAGACGACGTACGGCACTCCACTCGGGCCTGGTGTGGAGCTAGTTCTAGCAGCCTTGACGACTTCTTCTACTTCTTTCAAAGTTGGCTCCCTGATGTTAAATTCCGAGGTGGGTTCCGGTGGAGTTATCAACGTTTTACATGGCCCGAGGTCTTTGTCTCTTGCACTGTCACTGTAGGTGGTGCTGAGGTACTTGTTAACCTCTTCTTCAGTGCACGCAAGATGGCCACTTTTTTTCTGCCCGAGGATCTTCTTCGTAAATCCAAAAGGGTTAGAAATGAAGGCGACACGTTTCCTGGCTCTCTCCTTGCCCCTCCTCCTATGCCACTCAGCTCGCCGGAGGGAAGATAATCAATAGTTGAATAAAGTCGTTATTTTTGTTTATTTGCGCACAAAAAGTATTCTCGTCGCTTGATAAAGTTAAAGGATTAGTTCACCTCAAAATGTAAATTTCCTGACGTTTCAGATTTACTCAGCCCAATGCCATCCAAGATGTTCATGTCTTTCTTTCTTCAGTGGAAAAGAAATTAAGTTTTTTGAGGAAAACATTCCAGGATTTTCCTCCACACAATGGACTTCAACGGTAACCAAATTGTTGAAGTCCAAATCAATGCAGTTTCAAACGGCTCTGCACGATCCCAGCTGAGGAACAGGGTCTTATCTAGCGAAACCATCGGCCATTTTCAAAAAAAAAAAAATAATGTATATACTCTTTAACCACAGTTGTTGGTCTTGTGCTGGTCTGACGCGCCAGGCATTACGTCATCACGTTGGAAAGGTCACGCTGGACGTAGGCGGAAGCACCGCCCCATTGTTTACAAGCGTGGAGAAGGAGGATCGTTCAAATTTTATTGTATATTGAATTACATATTTATGTGTTTGTGTCAGTTTATTGTTTAAAATGGTCCTTTCGTGTGCGTATCCTGGATGTTTAAAACAATTGGGCGGTGCTTCCGCCTACGTCCAGCGTGACCTTTCCCACGTGATGACGTGATGCCTGGCGTGTCAGACCAGCACAAGACCAACAATTGTGGTTAAAAAGTATATTCATTTTAAAAAAATTTTAGAAAACGACCGATGGTTTCGCTAGATAAGACCCTATTCCTCAGGGATCGTGCAGAGCCGCTTGAAACTGCATTGATTTGGACTTCAACAATTTGGTTACCGTTGAAGTCCATTGTGTGGAGAAAAATCCTGAAATGTTTTCCTCAAAAAAATTAATTTCTTTTCCACTGAAGAAAGAAAGACATACTAATAAGAAGAATGTGTTACATTTATATAGCGCTTTTGGGTACTCAAAGCGCTCACTTGAACATCTTGACATGAACATCTTGGATGGCATTGGGATTGGGGTGAGTAAATCACCTAAAAATGAACATTTCCTGATAAACTAATCGCTTAAGGTTGAGCCACTGTAGTCACTCGGACTATTTTAACGATGTCTTTAATAACTTTTCTGGGCCGGCAGATGAAATGACCTCGCAGTGATCCAGCGCTCAGATTTCATCAACAATATCTTCATTTGTGTTCTGAAGATGAACGAAAGTCTTACGGGGTTGAACAACATGAGGGAGAGTAATCACTGACAGAGTTTACATTTTTGAGTGAACTATCCCTTTAATGTTTTACAGAGTGATTTATTCGACTGATTGGTTTAAGCCTTTGGTTCAGAGAATGAGGTTTAGTGATTTAGCAATTCAGATCAACTGTCTGTAATACTGATACAAAAGAGTTCAATTTAAAATTAATGCTGTTCATTTGCATCTTTCTTTTCAGAGAATCCTTCCACAGAAATATGAATCAGCAGCATTATAATCAGAAATGTTTCATCATATTAGAGTGATTTCTGAAGGATCATGTGACTCTGAAGACTGGAGAAATGATGCTGGAAACTCAGCTTTGATCACAGGAATACATTACATTTTATATTCACAGAAAACAGCTGTTTTACATTGTAATAATATTTCACAATATTACTGTATTTCTGATCAAATAAATTCAGGATTGGTGGTTCTTTCAAAAAACATTAAAAATGATACTGACTCGAAACATCTGAACGGTGGAGTGTATAAATAAGCACAAATCTCATGTTAGCAACACTCTCTTATGTGTATATCATATTAACTACTGTATCAGAGGATCATATAGCATTACAGTCTGAAAACACAAGTTCATTATGATCAAAACTAAGAGTAAAATGTTATTCTCTGGAAAGTTTACAGCTGCTAATTATAACTAGAGCAAATGCATGTTTTGGATTTGGTTGCTAGTGGCAACATGTGTAGGTGGCCACAGATTTATACACTGAAGAAAGACATAAGAGTCCAATTATGAGAAGCACAATGGGCACTTACACGAGGACCAGCGCTCTGCTTGACTTTGATAATGTGTCTGCTATTGACACACATTAATCACACATTAAAATCTGCCTGGCTTTAACTTTCCAACATTGCACATATCATTAGAACAGAAGAGTGTTGAGTTATGCATAAATTACAATCAAGTCACCTTTATTTATATAGCGCTTTACACAATACAGATATCTTCAATCCTACAGTAAATACACACTCTCAAAAGCAGTCTCCGGGACAGGACCCTTTCAAAGGAGACACCTCTTGTGCCTTTTTCTCTGAGCGTGTATAAAGCATTAGACACACTCAAGTATCACATTGAGAGATATTTTGTGTAAGTTTGATTTCATTGATGCGATTCTGAACCTGAAATACTGAGGACAGAAAGCCTTTAATCGCTCTTTACTCTGAGGTAAATCAAACCACACACAGACATTCAGTGACTTCCCTGTCCATACATGTCAAAGTGCTTGTGTGTAGAGGAGCAAACCCACACAGATGTCCTTGCTGTCCATTAGCTCCTCCATCATCTCAAGAGCATCTCAGACATCGGGTTTCCAATCAGCACTTTCACAAACTCTCTCTCGCCCATTAAAGACAGCAGCTCTTCTGAGCGCATCAGGTGACGCAGAGACAGCTTTGTTTCAATCCAGTCTCTTGATTCAACGAGGTACATGAGGATCCTTTCACACGAGGCTTCTGCCTAAGTGCCGTTTAATGTTAATGTAGCTTCCTTTTGTTGCAGTTCTTCTCCTTTTCTACCTTTTCTTCGTCTCCTCTGGGTGTTTAATGGTGGGATTTATTTGACGGAGGTTTTGTAAGAAATGCCAATGATACATTTGTATCTAACATAATACTTCACCCAAATCCTTTGATAATAATATAGTGTACAATGGGATTATCAAGCTATTTTGGCATAAGATTAACCTTTACTATTGACACCCAATGATAATCTCAGAGGGTTTACAGTGAATGATGATCTGTAACTGAAAGATGCTCACATATCCGGCATGTTTAACAATAAAGTAGACTATAAACCTGTATATTTTGTATAAACATAACATGCTACTGGGTTGCAAATATTTGACTTAAAACACTGCTAAAATTCCTGAGAGCAAGGGCCGGTTCACACAGAACGCACTTTTGCTGTTAAAAATGTGAGACGCGGGTTATAGAGAGGAAAAGCGGTCTAGAATAGAGACGGTTAAAGATGTCCGTCTAGGGCGTATTTACATTAAAAAACTATGGAAAAATAGCGCAGTGGAATGGGAAAAGGCATTCTCTGTAAACGGACCCTTAATTGTTTAATTACGGTTTATACATGCTAGCAGAGACTATAGAATAACACAAGACGCGTCACTCATATTGTTTTAAATCAGTTTTGAATGGGGAAAAGTGCAACGCTCAGAATAAGTCCCGCCTTCTAAATATGAGCCAATCGCTGATTGGTAAAGTCATGGCATCACTGCAGCTGCTGTTAGAAGCTCCGGTTCCCATAGAAAGTCAGACACGCTTCCACTGCGCATGAGCTTGATCCAGCCTGAAAAATGTACTTTTGTCATGATTTGAGCGTTTAGAAACAGAATTTATGAGACAGTTATTGTCCGATTTCATTGGTGATGTCAAAATTAAATTTAATCGTAAGATTGGCGAACAGTTTTGGACAATTTGATGTTTCTCCATTCAAAGAGATAGGAGCTGCACTTGCATGAGGCGTTTCAAAGATGGCCGCCGACCGAAATGTCTTGTCTTAAAGGGATCCTGATGCTAGTTTCCATGACAAAGTTCAAGATAAATCTTTGCATGTACTGGAGCTGCCAGTTTGCTACATTTATATATGATTATTAAACAGCACAAACTATGCAAAAGCAGCAGTATCTGAATTCATTCACCCGTTTTCATCAACTCCTTCAAGTGGACTATATTAGTGGAGTACGGTAGGGAACAGTGAATGAGGGTATAGAGGGTGATTTCAGACACAGCAGCAAAAGACACAACGGTGAAACACGTACGTCTAGTGTGTGTTTACATAGAAAAACACTGGGAAAGCAGTGCAGTGGAAAAACACCGGGAGAGCAGCGCAGTGGAAAAACACCGGGAGAGCAGCGCAGTGGAAAAACACTGGGAAAGCAGCGCAGTGGAAAAACACCGGGAGAGCAGCGCAGTGGAAAAACACTGGGAGAGCAGCGCAGTGGAAAAACACCGGGAGAGCAGCGCAGTGGAAAAACACCGGGAGAGCAGCGCAGTGGAAAAACACCGGGAGAGCAGCGCAGTGGAAAAACACTGGGAAAGCAGCGCAGTGGAAAAACACTGGGAAAGCAGTGCAGTGGAAAAACACCGGGAGAGCAGTGCAGTGGAAAAACACTGGCAAAGCAGTGCAGTGGAAAAACACTGGGAAAGCAGTGCAGTGGAAAAACACTGGGAAAGCAGCGCAGTGGAAAAACACCGGGAGAGCAGCGCAGTGGAAAAACACTGGGAGAGCAGCGCAGTGGAAAAACACTGGGAAAGCAGCGCAGTGGAAAAACACTGGGAGAGCAGCGCAGTGGAAAAACACTGGGAGAGCAGCGCAGTGGAAAAACACTGGGAAAGCAGCGCAGTGGAAAAACACTGGGAGAGCAGCCTAGTGGAAAAACACTGGGAGAGCAGCGCAGTGGAAAAACACCGGGAGAGCAGCGCAGTGGAAAAACACCGGGAGAGCAGCGCAGTGGAAAAACAACAGGAGAGCAGCGCAGTGAAAAAACACTGGGAAAGCAGCCCAGTGGAAAAACACTGGGAAAGCAGCCCAGTGAAAAAACACTAGGACAGCAGCGCAGTGGAAAAACACTAGGACAGCAGCGCAGTGGAAAAACACCGGGAGAGCAGAGCAGTGAAAAAACACTGGGAAAGCAGCCCAGTGGAAAAACACTGGGAAAGCAGCCCAGTGAAAAAACACCGGGAAAGCAGCCCAGTGGAAAAATACTGGGAAAGCAGCCCAGTGGAAAAACACCGGGAAAGCAGTGCAGTGGAAAAACACTGGGAGAGCAGCGCAGTGGAAGAACACCGGGAGAGCAGCGCAGTGGAAAAACACCGGGAGAGCAGCGCAGTGGAAAAACACTGGGAAAGCAGCGCAGTGGAAAAACACTGGGAGAGCAGCCTAGTGGAAAAACACTGGGAGAGCAGCCTAGTGGAAAAACACTGGGAAAGCAGCGCAGTGGAAAAACACTGGGAGAGCAGCCTAGTGGAAAAACACCGGGAAAGCAGCGCAGTGGAAAAACACCGGGAGAGCAGCGCAGTGGAAAAACACCGGGAAAGCAGCCCAGTGGAAAAACACCGGGAGAGCAGTGCAGTGGAAAAACACTGGGAGAGCAGTGCAGTGGCAAAACACTGGGAGAGCAGCCTAGTGGAAAAACACTGGGAGAGCAGTGCAGTGGCAAAACACTGGGAGAGTAGTGCAGTGGCAAAACACTGGGAAAGCAGCGCAGTGGAAAAACACTGGGAGAGAAGCCTAATGGAAAAACACTGGGAAAGCAGCGCAGTGGAAAAACACCGGGAGAGCAGCGCAGTGGAAAAACAACAGGAGAGCAGCGCAGTGGAAAAACACTGGGAAAGCAGCGCAGTGGAAAAACACTGGGAGAGCAGCCTAGTGGAAAAACACTGGGAAAGCAGCGCAGTGGAAAAACACTGGGAGAGCAGCCTAGTGGAAAAACACCGGGAAAGCAGCGCAGTGGAAAAACACCGGGAGAGCAGCGCAGTGGAAAAACATCGGGAAAGCAGCCCAGTGGAAAAACACTGGGAGAGCAGCGCAGTGGAAAAACACTGGGAAAGCAGCGCAGTGGAAAAACACTGGGAAAGCAGCCCAGTGGAAAAACACCGGGAGAGCAGCGCAGTGGAAAAACACCGGGAAAGCAGTGCAGTGGAAAAACACTGGGAGAGCAGCGCAGTGGAAAAACACCGGGAGAGCAGCGCAGTGGAAAAACACTGGGAAAGCAGCCCAGTGGAAAAACACCGGGAGAGCAGCGCAGTGGAAAAACACCGGGAGAGCAGCGCAGTGGAAAAACACTGGGAAAGTAGTGCAGTGGAAAAACACCGGGAAAGCTTATTTCAGTCAAAGTTGCTCTTCTATCAGCTTGAATCAGTCGGCCCATTCTCCTCTGACCTCTAGCATCAACAAGGCATTTTCGCCCACAGGACTGCCGCATACTGGATGTTTTTCCCTTTTCACACCATTCTTTGTAAACCCTAGAAATGGTTGTGCGTGAAAATCCCAGTAACTGAGCAGATTGTGAAATACTCAGACCACAACCATGCCACGCTCAAAATTGCTTAAATCACCTTTCTCTCCCATTCTGACATTCAGTTTGGAGTTCAGGAGATTGTCTTGACCAGGACCACACCCCTAAATGCATTGAATCAACTGCCATGCGATTGGTTGATTAGATAATTGCATTAATGAGAAATTGAACAGGTGTTCCTAATAATCCTTTAGGTGAGTGTATATACACAGCTTTATCCGATTTTTAGCCCAGCTCCAAATGGCTATAAGAAATTATAGTCTGCTCCGATCCAACTTCCCAATATATATATTGAAATGTTTCTTCACTTAAAAGTGCTTATTTATCATAGAAACAATTCCTTCCAATCTCAGTAATATGTAAATAGTATCACAGAGTCACGGTTATCACCTATAGCGTGGGAGCGGCAGCGGGTATTCGAGAACCATCTTGATTATAGGGACTTCAAATATATGTTATCACCTTAAACTTATTTGAGAGGATATCAAAGATGTGGGCACAGAGGGACCACTTTTGTTGTTATCCTCAATTTACAGAGCTTTAGCTCCATGCTGAGAGAGAAGACAAATGTGTTATTCTTAACATACAGACCACAGCTGTTACAACAAGAGCAACTTCATTTACATTGAGTGGTCAACTGTAACAGGATAAAAGTTTTGAGATTTGGATGTTCTGGGTTCATTCTGACGCCGGTGAACCCAGGGTGCTTTCTTGTACCTTGCCACTGCTATGCTGTAATAAACTTCCTTTTTGAGATCTTCGACGACCGCATAATTTTTTCTTACACGGCTCAATGGCATAATATTCACAGTCGGAGTTTCTGTAAAGCTGAAACAATGTGTATTGTGAAAAGACCTATAGAAATAAAAGTGACTTGACTTGATTACTCATCATGGTCAATAATTACTATGAATAAAATCTGTTCATGTTACCCTTGTTTATGTGACTTCTACGCATTCATCTGGTTATATCCCCAGTATAGACGGATTTCTGTGATTTCTGAAGGATCATGTGACACTGAAGACTGGAGTAATGATGCTGAAAATTCAGCTTTGATCACAGGAATCCATTACACTTTACTATATATGAAAATAGAAAATAGTCCAATGTAAATAAGTGTATGTATCGGGCCATATGACTGAGGGCCACTTGGGCATATCTGTGATCCATTTGTGGTCTGAAATAGCGTAGGGATCAGGTAATGTCTCACCATTACTGAGAGTTTATTTCTTAATATAACCGGCGGAGTCTGTGCTATAGGCTTCCAAAGTAATGATGCTAGCCATCGATTTCCTCACTGTCACACACCTAGCTAGCGGTCACACGTCTCATGGCTTGTACAGTATGTTTACAGTATCAGCTTTCTTTCAAATGTGGCGGGTCGTGACGTAGCCTTGTCGTAAACATTTAGGATAGAAAGCCTCAACAACCAACAAAACCAATTCATAGGGTATGTCATGTTTTTAACTTGGTTGGACAATTTCATTCAGAGACCCGATGACTAACGTTATAACTTAGCCTACTAGTTAACTGTTGTAAGCTAACGTTTTACAGTTACACTAATATGCAAATGAAACAAACAAACAGATCCAACTCTGAAATGACATTTTATTATTGAATCAACAAGAATTTACATAAAATCGATGGGGGAGAGAGCTTTCTCTGTCGCGGCACCCAGGTTATGGAATGCACTTCCTCTTACTGTTAGAGAGGCTCCCACATTAGCCAGTTTCAAGAAGTTGTTAAAAACACATCTTTTTAAAATTGCTTACATAGACTTATGATTAGTATTTTAATGATGTGTACTGTAATGATTATTTTTGTATTACTTTTGTACATCTGTATTTTACTTGTTTTATTGTTTGTAGCGCTTTGGGTTTTAGACATTCAGACATTGCTCCAAACATGATGCTGAAGGGTTGAAATATCAGCCATGCGTTTAGATGAGTTTGCACACATTGTGAACAGCAGCTGATATCATTCTCTTGATGATATGTAGAGGATGTAGAATCACGCTTCTCTGTCTGGCAATCCGATGGACGAGTCCGGGTTTGGCGTTTGCCAGGAGAACGGTACTTGCCTGACTGTATTGTGACAAGTGTAAAGGTTGGTGGAGGGGGTATTATGGTGCGGGGTTGTTTGGTGGAGGGGGGGTTATGGTGCGGGGTTGTTTGGTGGAGGGGGGGTTATGGTGTGGGGTTGTTTGGTGGAGGGGGGATTATGGTGCGGGGTTGTTTGGTGGAGGGGGGATTATGGTGCGGGGTTGTTTGGTGGAGGGGGGATTATGGTGCGGGGTTGGGGGGTTATGGTGCGGGGTTGTTTGGTGGAGGGGGGATTATGGTGCGGGGTTGTTTGGTGGAGGGGGGATTATGGTGCGGGGTTGTTTGGTGGAGGGGGGATTATGGTGCGGGGTTGTTTGGTGGAGGGGGGATTATGGTGCGGGGTTGTTTGGTGGAGGGGGGGTTATGGTGCGAGGTTGTTTGGTGGAGGGAGGATTATGGTGTGGGGTTGTTTGGTGGAGGGGGGATTATGGTGCGGGGTTGTTTGGTGGAGGGGGGGTTGTGGTGCGGGGTTGTTTGGTGGAGGGGGGATTATGGTGCGGGGTTGTTTGGTGGAGGGGGGATTATGGTGTGGGGTTGTTTGGTGGAGGGGGGGTTATGGTGTGGGGTTGTTTGGTGGAGGGGGGGTTATGGTGCGGGGTTGTTTGGTGGAGGGGGGATTATGGTGTGGGGTTGTTTGGTGGAGGGGGGATTATGGTGCGGGGTTGTTTGGTGGAGGGGGGATTATGGTGTGGGGTTGTTTGGTGGAGGGGGGATTATGGTGCGGGGGTTGGGGGGTTATGGTGCGGGGTTGTTTGGTGGAGGGGGGGGTTGTGGTGCGGGGTTGTTTGGTGGAGGGGGGATTATGGTGTGGGGTTGTTTGGTGGAGGGGGGGTTGTGGTGCGGGGTTGTTTGGTGGAGGGGGGATTATGGTGCGGGGTTGTTTGGTGGAGGGGGGATTATGGTGTGGGGTTGTTTGGTGGAGGGGGGGTTGTGGTGCGGGGTTGTTTGGTGGAGGGGGGATTATGGTGCGAGGTTGTTTGGTGGAGGGGGGATTATGGTGTGGGGTTGTTTGGTGGAGGGGGGGGGGGGGGTTGTGCTGTGGGGTTGTTTGGTGGAGGGGGGATTATGGTGCGGGGTTGTTTGGTGGAGGGGGGATTATGGTGCGGGGTTGTTTGGTGGAGGGGGGATTATGGTGCGGGGTTGTTTGGTGGATGGGGGGTTATGGGGCGAGGTTGTTTGGTGGGGGTGGGGGGGGGGGGGTTATGGTGCGGGGTTGTTTGGTGGAGGGGGGGGGGGGTTATGGGGCGAGGTTGTTTGGTGGGGGGGGGGGGGGGGGGGGGGTTTCAGGGGTTGGGCCTAGACGGCTGCATTGGGATTGAGTCCCGCCGGGTCCCGCGGGACCCAACGCAAATCTCGCGGGAGCGGGCGGTTTGAACTTTGCTGCGGGCGGGAATGGGCGGACAAATAAAACCCCTGCGGGATTGGGAGGTAGCCTAACGACATGATGGAGATGTCAATGATGTGGAAAAGAACCTTAAACGAGGTATTTACAGTACAAAACCTGAGCAAGGCAAGTCTGACATTTACTATTCATCTTCCTGATCAGTGCGTCAGAATACATGCAGGCCAGGGAAACGAAACCAACAACCCCATGAATCTCTTTAACAATAGCAATACAAATACGCGTTTTTTTCCTGCGGGACGGGAGAAGACACAAAGTCAGTGCATCTCTATCATTGTGCGGGAATAAATTCTCCGAGTTTTGCGGGTGCGGGCGGGAGTGGACATACATATTGCGGGAGTGGGCGGGAGTGTAACACATACGTTGCGGGAGCGGGCGGTAATGGTCAAAAATTCGGCGGGCGCGGGCGGGATGAAGAAAACAGTCCCGCGCAGGACTCTAGTTGGGCCTTCCAGTGAAAGGAACTCTTAATGCTTTAGCACACCAAGGCATTTTGGACAATTTAATGCTCCCAACTTTGTGGGAAGAGTTTGGGGATGTTCCTGTTCCAGCATGACTGCACACCAGTGCACAAGGCAAGGTCCATAAAGACATGGATAAGGAATTTGGTGTGGAGGAACTTGACTGGCCTGACCTCCACCCGACAGAACACCTTTGGGGAGATGAGAGGAAGAGAGGAATTGTAATCAGGTGCTAAAGAGAGTACCTATTAAAGGCAATTTGGACTAATGGGATCGCTTGGGCTTCTAAAAGAGACCTGATTTCCGGGGGGACCCAATTTGTCACTACATCGGCACATCCAGACATTTTTCTTAATTCCTCAATTATAAAACTACTTCAAACTTAAAAACGTCTGAGTTAAAGCTATTAAGTCTACTTCAAACTTTCTGATCCGACTTTCTCACGCCAACTTAAAGCTGTAGTCTGGCGTTTTTCCTCTTTGTCGCCATCTCTGTTCGAAATCTGCAATTGCAGTCATTCGCGGAATGAACTTTATGTGAGTTGTACTTCAACACCCTCGACACGGCACAGCGCGGATGAACACAATGTTTGAGGAGAGTGTGTGTCTGTCAGTCACCGCGCCGGTGTGGATACTGGCATTCAGAATCACAGATTATTCTTTTTGGAAGTATGACCAACATAATAATTTTCACCGGAAAATGTCTGAGCTAGTAAGAAACATCCACTTTTGTTCTGGTTCTGACATTGCAGTAAATCGCGCTGATTAAATCTAACAATTGCTTATAAGTTATCATATCGCGCAAAACCATGCAA